GGGTACAGATTGAGGTCTTTTTTTCCTTCAAAGTGGGGTACCTACAATACAATGAAACCCTTTTTTCGGCTAAATTTGATACATTTCATAACAGAACAGTTAGAGCAGAGAACCTAAGGAAGGATGGGGTCTGATATGTTGAGGGACAGTGAGGAGGTCAGGGTGGCTGGAGCAGAGTGAACAAGACGAGGAGGAGATGAGAGAGGTGCTAGGGAACCAGCTTGTGTAGGGCCATCAGTAGGCCCATTGTATGGATGCTGGCTTTTACTCAGAAATGAGAAGCCAATGCAGAGTTTTGGGCAAAGGAATGACATGCTCTGATAAATGTTTTAAATGGATCATTTTACAAGTTGTGTTGAGAAGAAACTGTAGGTAGGTGAGGAGAGAAGCAGGGAGACCAGTTGGGAGGTTATTACAGTAGCACAGGTGTGAACTGATTGTGACTGAACTAAAGTGGACAGTGATAGAGATGGTGAGAAAGTAGACAGACTGTGGATCTATTCTTTAGTTTGAAACCACGTGATTTCCTGATGGACTGGATATGGAGTACAAGGGAAATAGAAGAGTCAAAAATAATGCTAGTTACCTATTTTGGGGCATTATAATTTTACTACTTTCTCAGCAGTGTATGTGAGAATTTGTGCATTCTCTCTTTTTTTTTCCCCCTTGATATTTTTGAATTGTGGCATGAGTAGAAAGAGTCCTGGATTGGGAGTCAGAGCACCTAATTCTAAATGCCAGTCTAACTGTGGGAACTTGGACATACCACAAAGAAAGACCTGACCATCTGGTCCCATCAAGACTAAAGCCTAGAAAACCCTGTGGAGCAGTTCTGTTCTATTACACGTGGTCACTGTGAGTCAGAATCAACCATGGCACCTACAACAGAAACAACAGACGTGTCACAGAACACATTTAGAAAATGGATTCTGTTGCCCCAGAGATATCCAGCAGCCCTTTTTGGTCTTCTATTTTCTTTCTGAGCTGAAAATTGTCCCCATGTATCTAAATTGAGAAGTGAGACAAAAAGTTTAATATGTGTATGTTCTCTCCTCTTTAGAAGGAAAGCTTCCATAGTACAAGCACATGTTTATCTGTATATAATACTGTGCTTTCTTCACTTCCAAATATCATCACTTCCAGACACGGAAAAAACATTTAAAAAAAAAAAATGCACTTTCCATAGATCTAATCTCTGGTGGTGTAGTAGGTTAAATATTTGGCTGCTAACCAGAAGGTCAGCAGTTCAAACCCACCAGTTGCTTTGTGGGAGGAAGATGAGGCAATCTGCTTACATAAAGATTTACAGCTTTGGAAACTCAATGGAGGTTGCTGTGAGTCAGAATCGACTTGATGGCAATGGGTTTGGTGTTTTGGTTTTTATAGATCTGGTTTCATGGCCTAAATACTACTTTGTGAAGGCTTTGCCAGTATTCTAAAAATATTACTGGAATGGAAATTTTTATTTATTTATTTACTTTTATTTTTTATTTTTATTTATTTATTTATAAATAAATCTTCTTATTTTTTCAGAATAAAACCACCACATTTAAATCTTGTTTGTGAAGACTATTTTCTGAATCTGGTATCCAAGTGTTGAGGACACGGCTTTGGGAAACTATTTCAGTAGTATGTTTCTTCTGAAGAATTCTCAGCATGTGCCATTTCAAGATCACACTTCACTAAAATCTTGTAATAATGATTGATGTTTTCATTTCTGGCCTTTAACATTTAGTACCACTTTAACTGTCTTTTGAACAACAAGTTAGCTATTAATATTTCGTTTGACATGTATTGCTGTTGTTGTTGTTAGCTGCCATCAAGTCGGCTACAATCCACGATGGCCCCATGTGTGCAGAGTGGAATCCCATAAGGATTTTAGAACTGTGACCTTTTAGAAGCAGATCATCAAGAGCTTTGCTAGACTCGATTATGCAGCAAATGGGAGGTAAGACAGTTGAGGAAATGAACAGCTCTTAAGAAGTTTGCTGGGATGAGATCAAATTGACAATAGCAACTCAAAAGGTTAGAGAAGAAACTTAGGGTGTAATAAGTTGGTGTTAATGGTGGAGAAATAATTCAGAAAAGGATGGTGACAATGGTTGCACAACTTGAAGAATGTAATCACTGTCACTGCATTGTACATGTAGAATTTGTATATATTTTGCTGTGTATATTTTTAACAAAAATAAATAAATAAAATATGTAAAATGAAGTTTGATGGGCAAGGAAAGAGATAATAGAGCAGTAGTTGCAGATTTGGGGAAAAAAGCATTTAATTTGTAAAAAAAGAAATAAGGATTTTTTTTTTTCAGTAGTGAATAAAGAGACATCTTGTGGCTTTTATTTGGCTTTTATTTTTTAATGTTTCCCTGGTTTCACCTAACTGAATTTGTATGTTTTTCCTTAAATTGTAAACTCAATTGATAAGGATTTTATTTTAAATCACTTTGTAACCTAAAACTCATCATAGTGTAGCACACACAAGGAACATTAGAAAATTTTCAGCAAATGTCTGTTCAGACCATTGATTTGATGGTCTAGATGATGTATGTTTTTAAGTTTCTGGAAAACAGAGATTGTGTAAATAAATATCATATGGTGCTGCTAATATTATAGCCTCATCATTCCATCTAGTTAACAAAAAGAGCAAAAGAGACTATTTTATTAATAAGCAATCTCTCTCCCCAACGACTACATGGGACCTGTTTTAAAGCATTCTATTAGAATCTAATATTACATTTCGGACTGGGTGATTTGTGGAAGATGTAATGGTGGGAACAGGGGTGAAGAAATAAAGGAAGTTCATAGATATAACTGATTACATATGATATAAAGTATTCTCGGAAGTACCATCCACATACAACTGCTATAGGATATGCAGGTAGGATATACTATCTGATATGCAACTAAGTTCCTGTGTAATGCAAGCAGTTTGCAATTGGCTTTGCGTTGGACCCGACTCAACAACACCTAACAATAGCAACAACAACAACAACAACTAACCTAAACTACCACTCATCTGTTAGTTTGTCATACTCTTGCATGTTGTTGTGAGGCTGAAGGCTATGCCAGTGCTATTTTGAATACCAGCCGGGTCACCCATGGTGGACAGTATTCAGTGGCACTTCCACACTAAGAAAGACTGGGATGAAGAACGGGGCCAGCCACTTCTGAAAGAATTGGGCACTGAAAACCTTATGAATAGCAGTGAAATACTATCTGATATATCACCAGAAAATTTTTGAATAGCTCTGAAACATTGTCTGTTCTACGGCCAGAAGATGAGCCCCTCAGGTTGGAAGGCACTCAAAATACAACTGGGGAAGAGCTGCCTCCTCAAAATAGAGCAGACCTTAATGACGTGCATGGAGTAAGACTTTGGGGACCATTATTAATCAGAATGTGGAATTTATCAAGTATGAATCTAGGAAAATTGGAAGTTGTCAAAAATGAAATGGAATGCATGAAGATTGATATCCTAGGCATTAGTGAGCTGAATTGGACTGGTATTGGCCATTTTGAATCAGACAATTATTTAGTGCCTAATAGACCTAACCAGAAGGCTGGTGGTTCAAATCCACCAGCCACTCCTCAGAAGGAAGGCTGGGCAATCTACTTCTGTAGTGATACTGCCTTGGCAACCCAAGGAGGGGTCGCTATGAGTCGGGGCTGACTCGACGGCACACAACAACAACAACATGACAGTAATTACAAATTGGGGAGGAATGGTATCACATACGTCTTAAAAAAGAACATTTCAAGATCTATTCTGAAGTACAATGCCGTCAGTTATAGGATAATATCCAGATGCCTACAAGAAAGATCAGTTAATATGAGTATTGTTGAAATTTACACACCAACCAACCTCAATGCTGCACAGTGGCAGCTATGATGGGCTCAGTTGTAGTAGAAATTGTGAGGATGGCGCAGGACCAGGCAGTATTTTGTTCTGTTGTATGTGGAGTTGTTATGAGTCGGAATAGACTTGAGAGCACCTAACAACAATTAACCTAAAGATCTGAACCAGTAGTACCATGGAGGAAAAGACATTTTATTCCCTCAAGTCATGTGTCTTGTGTTTTCCATTTTAATAAATCACTCTTAAAAAATTCTCAGTCCTTCATATGGCATCACTCTCCTTCCTGTCGTCTTGGACCCAAACCTCAGGACAATCTCTTTTTTCATCTTATTCTTATTTGTCACTTGCAGTTTCCGGTCCAGTTCTATCCATTCTGTTTTTGAAATCCTGCTGCTGCTGTCACCAAGCACCAGTTCAGAGCCACAGAGGAGCATCCTTTTCAGTGTTGTCCATCCATTGATCTCACATTTTTTGTTTCTTCTGAATCTACCAGACACTGGCAACACATGATAAATGACTTCCTTGCCTTAAAGGAGTCACAGTCTAATGGGGACATGGTTTTACGTGCAAATAATTGCCATATTGTATTCCTAAAACTGTTTCTGAACAAAGTCACTGTATTGATTTCAGATAATGTGCCCTTGTTATTCTCACCTATAAAGAGTAGAAAAGTAAGTTAAGTAACTAGTTACATATTTGTCTCTCTGGTTAATTTCACCCAAACTAACCAACCAATAAAAACTTAAATTTCCCTTTGAAACTTACTTTTTCAAATTTTCCTATTACCTAGTTTTCTTTGGAAAATATTTCTTAGCAGAGTCAATATACTTCAAGAATACCTCTCTACTCTCCGAGCAGTTCCCCTACTGGGGACTAAAGGTCTGTGCGTTCCTATCTGTATATGTGCATTCTTCCTGAGTTCAGATTCAGTGGTCTGACGTTCCCTCTAATGAACAGCAGTCAGTCAGTCCATCATCTCCCAATGACAATTAGGAACATTTGCTTCTGTAGACTGTTTTCTCCCTAAATCTGTTTGGGAAAGAGCATTTTCCAGGTAAGGAGAGAGAAGGAAGATAAATGTTTGATGGAAGCTCGTGATACAGAAACTATCCTTATTGCTGTTCTGTTTTACATCTAGCTACAAGAAAACACATGAAACCCTGAGTCATGCAGGGCAGAAGGCAACAGCAGCATTCAGCAACGTTGGGACAGCCATCAGCAAGAAGTTTGGAGACATGAGGTACTGTGGGAATGAGCCCTGAGAGCAATATTAAGCTCCTAGCTTTCTGAGAGAAGGGCAGTATTACTTATCCAGCTATTCTCCTTAACAAACTCTCTTTCTCATAATGATTTGATTTTAATGGATTAAAGTTTCATGTGACTATTGACTGAGATAATTTTGCATATCAGGATTTTTCTGCATAAAAGTCAGAAATGGGCCAAGTCCCAAAGATGCCACTTCTGTAGGACCCAACCTAGTAAAAATAGAAATTATAGGGCGCTTTACAGCCCCTTTAATCAATAGGAATGAGAGGAGATTTCCAAAAATGTAGTATGTGCTGAATCTTAACCACTGTAATTTAAGTGATAATTTTAAACATGCATTGAGTGGAGTGGGCTTTGAAAAACTATTCCAGGTTACAGTTTTATAGGTATCTGTGGTGTTTTTTCCTGTGCTAAATATATTTATTTATTTATTATTTTAATTCTAAAAAGGTAGTACGTGGTAGATACTTCCTGCTGGTTTTCTTATTTTACTTTAGCAGTATATTGTGAATATGTTAATAAATATTTATTCACACCTCCATTTTTAATAACTCTATTATCTTCTAGTGCTTAACTATAGCAAAACTTTTAAACAAGTCCCCTATATATTTTTGCTATGTTCAGTATATCATTATAATATAAAATTGAGATGAACATCAAGGTATATTTTGAACTAAGAACCAAATATTCTCACTGTTGTTGTTAGGTGCATGTGAGCTTTTTTTTTTTTCCTTTCAGTTCTTACTATAGGCACCAGAGAAAAACAATGTAGTGCTGGCCATTTTCATTTTTATATCATGTAGTAGGAAGTTAGCTTATATAGAGTTATTACTCTTTTTTTTTTTTTTTTTTTTAGCTTAGTTTAGTTTTAAAGTGGCTCATATACCTTAGGAGACTTTTCACTTGGAATCAATTTTATTTTCCTCTCTAGGAATCAAATTCATGTTTTAAAACTTTTGAAGTATGTTTTATATTTCTTCTTTTAAAAAGAGTTTGTATTTATTTCACTGGATTCTTAAACTATTACTTTCTATATTCCCCTACAATTTTGATACCTAGAAGCAAATACTTATATCTTTGTGTTTAAATTATTTTTGGCTTCAAAATTACTGTGCTGTGCTCAATATCCATGCATAATTTAACAATGTGGAGCTTAGCGTTAAGTAAGTACATGTATATGAATCTGCATTCATTGTCTTTTCTTCATTTTTACTAATATTGCAATAATGAAAAACTATTAAAATTTCTCAGAGGCAGAATATGATGAACAAATAAACCTTCTAACTTATTACTTAGCCCTAAGTTTATTACAAATAATATTTACAATCATTTCAATGCCATGAAATCATGTATCTAAAGAAATTAAATGATTGCTTAAAACAGAAAAATACCCTGGCTGCCATTACTGAACATTTTGATCAAGGGTTCTTTAGAGGAATCCTCATCAAAAGGGGAAAATGCAGAATAGAATTTCAAATTATCATGGAATCCAGACTTTGTGAAGCCATGGCTGGATGAACTCCTGAAACTATTGCCCTGAGATCATTTTAAAACTTAAAGCCAAAAATATTCGCTGAAGTCTTCCTAAAACCAAACAGTAGTTTGGTGTAACTAGTATACAATGTCTGCCTTGAGCTCTTTTAAGAACCATCTGTATAGGATCAAACTGACAACAGCAACTCAGAAGATCAAATAGGAACTTAGGGAGCAGGGAGTTGAGGAGCAGCTCAGAAAAGTGGGGTGAGAATGGCTGCACAACTTAAATGCAATCAGTGTCACTAAATTGTACATGTGAAAACTGTTGAATTGGTGTATATTTTGCTGTGTATATTCTCAGCAACAACAAAGTAAATAAATTTAGGAACAAATCTACCTATCTATCTATCTATCTATCTTTGTTCTTGCATTCCTAGGTAAAACTTCATTTAACATTGGGGCCTCAGCATATACCCCAGCTAGAATAGTGTTTCTCCATCTAAGGGACCTTACAAACACCTCTGAAGCTTGTTTATGAGACATATTCCCAGATTTCACCTCTCAATGATTGTGATTCAGTAGGTCTTGGGTAGAATCTAGGACTCTCCATTTGTAACAAATTCCCAGGTAATTCTGCTCCGGGTGTTGAGGTTATAAGGAGAACTGCTGTACCTTAGCTTGTCTGTACTTAGGTGTTCTCATTTGTAAACTAGGGATGAGATGAACAACATCATCAGGTTGCTGTAAGAACAGCAGTTAGAAGAGTGCCTGGCATGTGTTAAGTGCTCAATAAATGCTAGTTTTTCTCTTTACTAAGTGGCCTTCTTAATTATAAGATTATAAGTTACAAGGTGGCCCCACATGATGAAATTCGAGAGAGTCCATTAACAGAAGCCCATTTAATAAAGATTCTGCTCATTTTTTTTTCAAGGTAGTAAAGAATGAAGACTGTTTCACACCTGCAGTGTGTTGGCTTAGTCATGTTTATACACTGGGTATAATATCTAAATTGTATTTACTGGCTTTGCTCTTGGTTCAGTGTGGCTTTCTTTTAGGGTAATAGAGAACTTACTTCCTAGAAGTTCTAAATTTTTCATGAATTACTGTCCTATACAGAGGATACAAGGAGCTCTGGTAGCAAAGTGGCTAAGGCACTTGCCTGCTAACCAGATGGCTGGCGGCTCAAACCCACCAGCCACTCCTCGGAAGGAAGGTTGGGCAATCCTACTTCCATAGTGATACTGCCTCGGAAACCCAAGGAGGGGTCGCTATGAGTCGGGGCCGACTCGACGGCACATAACAACAACAACAACAACAGAGAATACAACACTTTCATTATAAACTGTGGCTAACAATACTGAAAAATGTAGCCTGCATGTTAAAGACTCAAATATAGTCCTATAATATTTTGTGGAGTTGGAAAAATTCAGAGCTATATTTTTCTCAAACTATAACATCTAACGTGAGGTATCTAGCCAGAGGTATCTTTCTATGAAAGCAAGTAATTTTGTGAAGAGTTTTTAGTTTTAAAGTATTTTAAAATTTAAAATCCCTTGTTTAATAACGATTCTTAAATGAGAAAAATTTGTCCAAATTTATGTACTAATTTTAAAATGATAGTGGGGAAAATTTTGAAATTGTATCACAGGCATTTTATTTAAATCTCTTCTTGGTTTAAAGTAGCATATTTTATATTTTTATTAGCTACACTATAAACTTGTGCATTTTGGGAACAGATTTCTGAACTTGATCAAAAAGATTGTCAGCAAAATTTGATATCTGGAAAGAAAAACCATCCCACATAGTTTTTACTTAAAATAATTCCAAATTTATACTCATATTTTGAAAACGTAGAATTTGGGTCTTTTAATACTGTAAGAACAGCACTGTTAGGATTTAACTCATATGTTTCTAAAACTGGTTGTATTTCCAGAGCTGATAGTTTCATTTTAACCTAATGGCTGTGAAGTAAAGTTGCCTGGGCCCAGTCATGCAATTGCTTAGTCTCTTCCTGGTCTATAAACTAACGTTAATACCTTCCCAACTGCACTGTTGCCTGTGAAACCAAATAAAAAACAAACTCATTGACATAGAGTTGATTCTGACTCATAGTGACCCCCTTTGGATTTCCGAGGTGGTAAATCTTTACCGACGTAGGTTGCCTAGTCTTCCTTCTGTGGAGTGGCTGGTGGGTTTGAACTGCCAACTTTCTGGTTTGCAGTAAAATTGCCTGTGAACCTAACATGAAGTCACATTTATGAAAGAACTATGAAGAAATGCAAGCTGCTGGACTCAATTTTATAAAAATATTGGCAGTTTCTTGGAACTTTGTAATGAATTTGTTCAGACTGTGATCTAGTGGGAGTGGAATGTCTGGAGAAGGCACATAGTTTTTTAAGAGAAGTTCACATCTCTGTGTAACCTTGAGACTGATAAAGGCCAGTTGCAGTCACGTCATTTCTGACTCATGGCCACCCCATGCGTGCAGAGTAGGATTACACCCCACAGGGTTTCAATGACTGAGTTTTCAGAAGTAGATCATCAGCCTTTTCTTCCAAAATGGACTCCTCTCTTTCTTTTGACTTGAACCTCCAACCTGAATTTTTAACCACCAAGGGAACAACACTTCTAAAAGGTTGGCAAAATAATCTTTAAGACACATGAAAAACTGAATATGCAAAGAGCAAAATAAAACAAAACAACACCTAAATTAAGTAAGGGATGGATAATTGCTTTAAAACTACTGAAAAAGGGGAAAACAAGGGAAGGCTGGTGGTTTCTTTGCATCCTAATATGCTCTCTCTGCTTCCCTCCTGTGCTGCCTGGCTGCAGATCTCACTCTATTGGGTAAGCACCTGTCCTGGCCGAGGGCAAGACTTGGCCAGCTCCCCTGCTACTCCCCAGGGGCCCTTTATTGCTTTCACACTGTGCTTCAACAACAAAAGCAGCTCCGTTTTTCTGAACAAGTTAATTACCAGGAAGATGCAGACTGTAGGCACTCCATACATTGATGTTTATTTGTTGTTGTTGAGTACCCTTGAGTCGATTTATGGAAGCTCTAGTGGCATAATGGTTAAGTGCTCAGCTGCGAACCTAAACATTGGCGGTTTGAACCCCCCTCCCCCCAGTGGTGCCGCAGGAGAAGGACTTGGTGATTTGCACCTGTAAAGATTATGTCCTAGAAAACCCTACAGGGCAGCTGTGCTTTGTCACAGGAGGTCACTGCGAGTTGAACAACTCCAGGGCACCAAACAACAATTTTGAGAGAAACAGATCACCAGATCTCTCTCCCAAGTAGCCGCTGGTTGGATTTGAAACATCAGCCTTTTGGTTAACAATTGCATTACTAGGGCTCCTTTGAAAATGGTGGTGGTGGTGGTGTTGTTGTTGTTTGCCGTCGAATGGGCCCCGACTCACAGCGACCCCTCCTTGGATTTCCGAGGCAGTATCACTACGGAAGTAGGATTGCCCAACCTTCCTTCCGAGGAGTGGCTGGTGGGAAAATGGTGTAGGCACATATTTATCTCCATTCTGACTTTACACCAATTTCACTCGCTGAGGAATCTCACAGGAATCTCTCCTTCTGCAACATTTCTTCCCATACCGACAGAGATCTCTGCTTTATCCACACCTAGAACTGAAAGAGAAAAATAAAAAAGGGAAGTGGAAATTGAGAATTGTGCTTTTATAAAATTTAAATAAAGAAACAGAAAATGATAAGCGTGGGCGTTTCACCTTGACCTTTCTGTGCTTTCTGAAGTTGAAGGTCACTGGAAAAGCACATAAATTAAGAAATGTGAGTTGTCAGCTCCAAGCCTCTAGTGTAGCCATTATTTTCTTGAATCTTTTATATATATATATATATAGAGAGAGAGAGAGAGAGAGAGAGCTCTGGTAACATAGTGGCTAAAGCACTTGACTGCTAACCAGAAGGCTGGCGGTTCAAACCCACCAGCCACTCCTCGGAAGGAAGGTTGGGCAATCCTACTTCCATAGTGATACTGCCTCGGAAACCCAAGGAGGGGTCGCTATGAGTCGGGTCCGACTCGACGGCACATAACAACAACAACATATATATATATATATAAAGAAAACTGCTTATGTTTAAAGAGATGAACAGATTGGTAGTACTGACAAAAAATTTTTTAGTAATTCTTTTTTTCATATGATTTCTGAGGAAATATTTTGCCTATAGTTTCTAAACAGTATCTGCTTAAGACTGTAAGTACCCTCCTGAATTTCTTTGTCCTTTTCTCTTTGTGGTCTAGTATAGTGTTGTCCATACTAATTATCTCAGGGAATATTGTCAGGAAAGGGTGATGAGTTTGTTCCCTGACCTGTTGGCTTCTTTACTGTGTTGAAGAGCATGATAGAGGACACTGTCACAGAAAAATGAATCCCAGTTTGCTTCCTCCCTCCCTCCAGCCTGACTTCTCAGTGAAATTCATGTGGAAAATAACAGGCAATCAAAGGGAAGATGAGTCAGCTACTATAGGAATAATAGGAAGGCTGATTCTCTTAGAACTCTCAGGAATATTTATATTTGTACCAGATGTTCTTGACAAGGAACCAGAATGGACGCTGAGTCCTTGCTCTCATGCCGTTTGCCTGATATGTGCTTCCTTGAATGTCTTATGTTAACTATGTACATTCTTCTGGACAGTTTCTCTACAGTGGACATTAGCTTCTATCTTCCTGGCTCTACTTCCCATCCTTCACTGTCTTCTTGAGCAGGAAAAGGGAAGGAACACCTTGGTTGGACCTGTACAAGATGACCATGGGCTACTGGGCTGAAGTAGGGGAAACCAAACATTCTGCTCAGACTTCTGGACTTAGGAAGCCTACAAGGGATAAAATAATACACAACCATGGACCATCTACTCTTCTTTTATATCCTTGGAAGCTGACAGTAGACCGTTAAACCCAAGGAAAAGAAATACCATATTAGTCGAGTGGGCAGAGGGTATTTCAGATAGTTGTATTGCTGTTTTAGTATTGTGAATAGGGAGTTCCATGTACTTATCGTCATGTACTTATCTTATGCTATTTTCTTTTTTCTTTCTTCTTTCCCCCTTTAATCTGCTTTTGTCTTGAAGCTACTCCATTCGCCATTCCATAAGTATGCCTGCTATGAGGTAATGTGTGTAAATTATTTTTACATAAATTAATGTGGATATGCATAAAATGGTTACTTTATTGCCATTTACTTTGTGGTATTTTTTTTTTTTCCTTTATGTAAAAAAAAGTGCCATGAACTATCTCAGTCTCTTTTCCCATGGTCTTTAGGAAAAAACTAACAATGATGTAGAAGTATGGTATGAAAGACTTGGGCTTTTGATTAGTCTCTGCTGCATGAAGCATGAGTTCCCTAACCTCTCCTACTCTCTACTGGGAAAATAATCCTGCCTCATATGTTGTTGGGAGGCATAGACAAAGAAAAATGTGTAAAGCACTTACCACAGGGTCTGGGATATTCCAAGCACACTTGCAATGGTTGAAATACATCTTTTATTTCAGCAGAATTAAATGCAACCCCAAAAGAAAATTAAACAAAAGAGTACAAGATTAATAGGGCTGGAGTTCTAGAAGGGATATCAGTAAGACTTGTGAAGATTGATATTAAGGTAAAGTGTCTGTTGAACAATAAAAATGTCATTAAAATGACTGGCCAATGAAAATTTGTATAAGGTTCTTCTAGCTAAATATCCCCTTTCACATTTGCATGGTTTGTAATAGAATCAGATTAAATCAAAATTATAGTAAGAAAATACACAAGAATGAATGTTAGAATGGGAGTCAGAAGACCCAGGTCATAGCTCAGCTTTTTCAAGAATTAGCTTTGCGTCCTTGGAAAAGTCCTCTCAGTGATAACAGTTTCATCATATTTAAAATAAAGGGCTACTGTTACTGAACATTTTGATCAAAGATTCTATAGAAGAATCATGATCAAAAGGGAGAAAATCCAGAACAGAATTTCAAAATTTAGACTTTCTGGAGCCACGAAGGCTGGATGGACCTCTGAAACTATTGCCCTCAGCTAATCTTGAAACTTTAAAACTTAAACCAAAAATATACCTGAAATCTTCTTAAAACCAAACAGTAGTTTGGCTTAACTAATAAAGATTGTCTGCCTTGAGCATTGTGCTCTCTTAAGAACCATCAAAATGGGATCAAATTGACAATGGTACCTTGAATGATGAGATTGGAAACTTAGGGAGCAGTGAGTTTACATTGATTGGGGAGGAACAATTTGGAAAAGGAGGATGAGAACGTCATCAATGGCACTGAATTGTACATGTACAAATTGTTGAATGGGTGTATGCTCTGTTATGTATACAAGGAAAATAGAGTAAATAATTAAAATAATAAAGGGAGAGAGGCAGATTTTACTGCTCTTCTCACCATACTCCCCAGAGCCCTGCCTGGGGCCACCATGGGTGGTGGGAGAAATCAGTCAGGGCTGTGCCTCTCAAACCCACTCTGTATATTAAAGGTTGAATTCCTTACAGATGAGATTCAGTTACTTTAAATAGTGTCAGATCACAGACGCCACAGTGGTTCTAAGGTCATTTGCAGGGTTGAAGTTTGTCCTTGCACATGCTAGGATAGAATCTGATTAGAATGCTTCTCCCTGCTCTCCAGCATGTACTCGACTATAATTTAATTAGAGGAGTGTCTGTCCTATTATGTCTGATGAAGTCTCTCATATACAGGGGTTATCTGGTTAATTGGTTGATTTGGAAATTTAAACCCAGTGTTTGTTTTCCCTAAATTGGTAATAAATGCAGAGCATAGACTCAAGATTGCTTGGTTCATCCTTGAAAGACCTGCTCCCCTATCATAGGAAAACATGGATTGAGTTCTATAGCCTCTGGCTCAGAGTACTTTACTTATCAGGTTTTAAGTTGAGATGTTCAAAGAAGCCTTGCAAAAATTAACATGGTTTTTCTCTGTGAGCTAGAAATCTATTTAGTGACTTATGAGTCAAATGCAATCCCCATGAGCTTGCTAGAAATTGACCGAAAAAATTATTGTATTCATGTGACATATACCCATTAGACTTAATTGTCAGCCTGCTATAGTTCTGTGTAACTGCTTGATGATAGTTACGTGAGCAGACCAAATGAAAACTGCAATGGAAGTAAGATTATATAACCAAAAACCAAACTCGCTGCCATTGAATCAAATCTGACTCATAGCGACCCCCTTTGGGTTTCCAAGGTGCTAAATCTTCACTGAAGTAGATTGCACAGTCTTCCTTCCACAGGATGGCTGGTGGGTTTGAACTACTAACCTTCTGGTTAGCAGTCAAGCGCTTAGGCACTACACCACCAGAGCTCCTCATATATAATGTTGTTGTTATGTGCTGTCGAGTCGGACCCAACTCATAGTGACCCCTCCTTGGGTTTCCGAGGCAGTGTATCACTATGGAAGTAGATTGCCCAACCTTCCTTCTGAGGAATGGCTAGTGGGTTTGAACCGCCAGCTTTCTGGTTAGCAGTCAAGTGCCTTAGGCTACCAGAGCTCCACATATACATATATGGCAGTATATCATTTTGAATCATTAAAGTGTACTTCCACTAATATTTCACCATAAAATAGAGGCATTACAAAGGATTACTCATAGGAATTTAACTCACATTTGAGTCATATATAAGGTATGACACTGAGCTTGGATCCTGTGAACTCAGCATAATTAAGTCATGTAGCCTGAATGCAGATGAATTACTGACTATGTGGAACATCACAATCTCAGGGGACAAATCCTAAAAAAGTCAAATTCAGTCAAAAACATATTTTTCTGTTAGTTTTCTCTTGTTGATGTAAGAGCCCTACTTCATCGCATATGTACAATGAAGCCCATATTGTATAACCATTCTCTGTTATGATTTCCTAAGCCATTTCTCTTACTTTACTTTCTCTGCACTCAAGAAAGAATACGTAGTGAATCAGAGATAAAACATTTACTTGAATTATTTGACTTGAAAATGATGGCTGTCTTTGCTGCTGAAAGCTAACATGGATATAAGTTTCAGGAAAGATTTTCAGTTCAGTTCCTGTTTCTTCAGTTTAATGTGGTGATACCATTTTTAATGGTAATGGCACATGGCCAAATCCAATATAGAAAACTATCAACCCCAGAAGAAGCATCTAACTCTTAAAGGTACAAGATAGTACATAGATTATTGAACACAAATAAAGTGGCAATAAGCTCCGAAGGGTCTGTCTCATAAGGGAACAAATAAATACAACCTCTTTGAGAGGAAAAGTTAAAACACAGTTAATAGTATCATTTGTGATCAGACATTAAATAAGTAATGAGTGCTTTTTAACTTACAATAATGAATTAACAGAAAAACCACTTCATCAAAGTTGACAAAATGATAACTTTGTAAAGCACAGAAAAGAAAAAACTTAGGAATGTTCTTTTCTTGGAACTCTTTCTGCCATGCCTCACATTCACTGACACAGTAACTTTACGTCTCCAGCTGGGAAAATTCAAACATGACATTGTTCAGGAAGACTTTCTATTGATTACAAAAAAAAAAAAAAAGAGTTAGAAAAAGGAATGTTGTGATAGAAACATTTTTAATTAGTAAATGAAAACTTAAGCTATTGATAATGCCTTGAGTTCATTGGAAATTATATGCAGTGCATTGTAGAATTACTGAAGTTGTGTCATTGCAAAATGATACACATAGGTTACCATGAGTTGAAATCAACTCAGTGGCAACTGGTGATCACTGCCAAATTCTGTTATTTATTCTAATTCTGTTATTTATCCTACAGTTGAGTATTTGAGTAAAATATGATTCTGTTTTATATAGAATCATACATATCAGGTTATGATTTCTGGACCTAACCTAGCGGAAGTGAAATATATTTTAAAATATGGTTAGTGTAGGTGGCAAATTGACAGCTAGCTCTGCTAGCTAGGCAACGTTTATAAATAAGAGCAGAAAATTAATCAGCAAGTTGCTAAGACAGCTAGGTCTTTGGAGCTGACCTCTTTTTTTTTTTATTATTTTAGGAATTCTCCTACTTTCAAATCATTTGAGGAGAGGGTTGAAACAACTGTCACAAGCCTTAAGGTACAGACAAGTGAATTCTTTGTGGTTGAGTCCATTGAAACAGGAGAGCTTAGTCATTGGTGTTCTGATGGCAATGTTTACAGCATTCTATGCATCCATGAAGGCCAACTTGTACAAAGTCAATCTTTTTTCCTCACATATAAATCTATATGTAAAACTAGTATTGAACATTGTTACAGTATCCATACAGAGTTGTCTGTGTAATCCATTCAAGGACAAATTGTTTATTAAAGTGAAGTAGGGTTTGAGTTCATTGCTTATTAATCTCTTTGCTAGTTAGAATTCATAATACAGTCTCCCAAAAAGTAGATAAGGTTAAAGGATGTGTGAATCTGAATTTAGAGTGTGAGCAAAAGTTTAGTAACAGCTCAGATCTCCTGTAGTTTGGGCCTGGATGAGCAAAAACGAACATGACAGGATGTATTTAACTGCCATCCACAACCCATTAGCAACCTAAAATTGTTTACTAAATTCACATATTGAGCACAATGTAATTATTATCGAGCGAGCATTAAGCTGAGTCACAAATGCATTGTTCTTTAATAAATCATTTGGTCTCTGGGTATAATCTGAAAATAATAATAGTAATAATTAAAAAAAAAAAAAAAAGAGAAAACCAAACTCACTGCCATCAAGTCGATTCCTATTAAATGGCACTAATACTGTGATATTGTTAATAATTGTTAGTAATAAAAGATACTGAATTAATTGGTTGAGAATAGACAAAATAAGCTAGTCTACAGAGCAGAAAAAAGCTGAAATAAAATCAGCTTCATCATAAAGTGTATAAAATCAGGGAAAGTCATTAAAACTGCTAAGATGATGATGATGATGATGATGATTTTTAAATCTATCTCCTAAACATTGACTTGGTTACATCTATAATAATTATCACTATTTTATGTGCAATCAATTTCTCTATGTCACTCTTATTAGGAAAACTAAGAATATGATTGGTCTTTAACAAGATCAAAAGCAGATATGTGCACACACCAATTACTCACCTCCTTCTGAATGTTCTGTCCATCTTACACTAGCTCACATGTGCTGGACCTTAGCATGAGCATGTGAGGTTACAAGCTAGTCTTTGCTAGAGGTCCTAGATGCTCTTACTGATTCTGACCCAGAGGGGTTTCCCTTAGGAGAGGCTCTTTCCCACAATCTTCTACGTTATTAGACCTGAGATTAAGTGTTTAAGGCAGAAGAATGAAATAATTGCTCAGTGTTTACCAGACATATCTTCATTAGTTTTATTTGTTAACGAGCTGTTTCTACAAGTTCCCTATTCTGCTTGTCAACATCATCACTTATTGAATGTACAGGAACCAATCAAAACAAAACAAAACAAAAAATGCTGTAGAGTCTACTGGTAGCAACCCCAAAGGAAAGAATGTAACTGCCCCCATAGGATTTCTAAGGCTGTAAGTGTTTTATGGAAGGACACTATCACATCTTTCTCCTGCCCTGGAATTAGCAGGCACCATTAGTAAAGCTTTTGAAAGGGAGGGACATACAGTGTTGTGGACTTTTCTCTTGCTGAAATATATAGTATCAAAACAAAAGTCTCAGAAATCCTAGGAATCAATTACTCACCTTTTGCTTTTTAGCCTTAGACAATCCAAGGAGCATGAATTCTTTACTTGTTAGATCATTTCTGACACAGGAGAAGTTGTACTTTTTAGGTTTTCTTTAGAAGAACGGGATATGAAGAAGCAAAAGAAGAATAAAGAACAACCTGTTTTCATTTGCTTTTAGGAAATTCTGGTAAGCCTATAGCTCACACGATTTCCATGTTGGATCCGTACCCTCAGTCTCTCTCTCCTGTCACCTCATCAGGATGGAAGGTGTATAACCTGCCTCCTTCGGACATGCACACCACTAACCCAGCTGATCTGATACTAGCCTCTGTTGATCTTCTGAAAGTGGATTCTGGTTATACATGATTGTCTATGGGTTTAACAAGACTCACATCCTCTCCACCTCCTAGGACACGGCCAGTGCCTACTTCCTCTTCCTCTGCCCACCCAGGCAATGGAGAATAGCTGATAATCATGCTTTGAGTAAAACCTCCCACTTCCTCAATAAGTATGAATGTCTCATTCCCCTCTCTTTTCTCCAGACTAAACAATAGATATGTTTAACCCTGCTTTATATAGTTTTCTGCATAGTTCACTTTTTTTTTTCCTGTATCTCCAAACTTTTTATATCTTTCTTCGATTATGAAACCCAAGACTGCCTTCTTCTGAGAGAATGACTCATGAGTCAGTAAGGATGAGAGGAATTCCTTGCAGGTCTAAATGCTGCTTTTCTCTTCACACATACTTTTGTTCAACTTGATTTTTAACATACCAGTTATGATGAATCATGTTCATATTTGTGTTCTATTAGAGATAATGTTCTGCTGTGAAGTGAGGTCCACTCCTGCCATCTTCTCACACAATCTGTCACACACCATGTGGCATTTGTACCTATTGATGTCTCCTTTACATGTGGCATTTGTACCTAATTGATGTCTCCTTTATACTCAATTCTGTAGGTAGTTAGATCTTCCTTGAAAAATTTTCCACTTCATCATAATCATACAAAATTTAATCCTTGCTGCCTAAATCCTTGCAATGTTTTATGACATCTCATAAAGTCAATAAGCATATATAGTCAATAAGCATACTTTCTATTTCATCCAAAACAAACAAACAGGTTTTAATAGCGTTGGCCCCAGAGCCAACTCCTCTGTGAAGAGGAGCTCCTGTGAAACTACATTTGGTACCCTCTACCATGTTCCAGTGAATCTTTACGAACTACCTCCCTTCTATCCATTCCACACCCATGTAAGCAGGTCACATTTTTAAGGCATCTACTTCTGATGAATACATTACATGACCTGAATAAGTCATTTTTTAAAACAGCAAAGTATGTTTTATACTTCTTGTTTCTTTATCAGCCAGCTGTTTTATTATGAGAGATCAGGAAACACCACCCAGTAAGTCAAATGAAATTTTAAGCAAAGATGTTATAATTTTCAGGACCAAAAATTTTGGGGTGAAAAACAGTTACCCCTGGAGGTGTCCAGGAGAGGTTTATAGCCCACCTCTCTGCAAAAGCAGATCTTTGCCAAAAGTATTCCAGTGTGTCGTGGGTCATTAAATCCACACAGCTAGGAAACCCCTTTATTCCACTCCCTTCTTTGCCAGATTGTTCATTTCAAGTAGGTTCCCTCCTTCTTCAGTTAGTTGAGAACAATCAAGATGTGGGAGGGAAGAATGAAAGGAAACTCAGAGGAGTTCTGCAATAATTGGTATTCACCTGATTTAACACTGTGTGTGACTTCTATTGCAAAAGAGAATTTACGTGGGGGGTGAGGAGAATGGAGACTATTAATAGAATAGATTTTATTGATTTAGTCTTATTTGTTTCTCGGAAGAAAGAGAGAAGCATAGGGAAATACCATATAATTGAGAACACTCCTCCATTCCCAGATAACACACAAAGAAAAGGAACTATCAGTGCTCTGAACCAGAGAACAGCAAGCTACTTACCTGTGGGCCAAATACAGCTGGCTGCCTAATTTTATATAGCCCACAAGCTAAGAATGGTTTTTACAATAACATATGGTTGGGGGTGGGGAGACTAATGTTCTGTGAAATTAAAAATTAAATTACATGAAATTCACATTTCAGGGTCTATATATAAAGTTTTATTGGAACACAGGCATGCTCATTCACTTACGAACTGTCAATGGCTGCTGCTTCACCCTAAAACAGCAGAGTTGAGTATTGATGGCAGAGACTGTGTGGCCTCCATGCCTAAAATTTTACTATCTAGCTTTGTACGGAGTTTTCTGACCTCTCCTCTAAACCTTTGAGCAGAAGAAAAATTTCAACTCAGGAAAAAAAAAGGGCTAAGAGCAGCAAGGGATTTTAGTGACAATTGGAGAAAAGTGTTTGCTTGTTTTTGTCATGATTGAACTGCTTCAAATCCTGGTTAAGTTATTGTCAAAAAGGCAGACCAGGCAGAGCATTTTGAGTAACACTCAGTCCCTGTGTTGTTCCTTCCTCTTCTTGTCAGTGATCACTCGAATGACACTCAGTTGTAGGTGGCCATAGGCAGTTGCAACATTATCTATTCTATTCCTTCCTTTTCTCCTAGTGGTTATCCACATTTTTAATGGCCAAGGAAGGCCAGCGTGACTAAGACTGCATTAAGTATTTTAAACTGTTAAATATTCTTTTGAAGGACTTTCTAATAAGGAATTTTTTGAAATATTTAACCATATTTTTAAATTATAAATTGATTTCTTCTGTATTTATAAGGTGATAACAAGAACATAAAAGGGGAAACTTGTAAAGCTTTATTTGTGTCTTAAGAGCTATTTCGGTGTGAAATTACCAGTTTTTTAAAACTAGACCCATTGCCACCTCGCAAAGCAATCTATTTAGAAAGTACTTTTCAAAAGACACTATTCTGAGAAATCCAGACGGCTCTGCTGCTAAATCCCAAGTAGAAAGCCTAAGTTGAAGGCACTTAAAGACATTTAGACATTTGTAAAATTGGGGAAGTTAAATCTAAAATGTAGTTCTGTTTTGATGAAATTGGTTCTCTCCGGGGAGTGGACGGCTGTATCTACAGATCTGGTTTTGCGCCTGAAAGGATCGGACATTTTAATAGATGTGGAAGAGATAATAATGTGATAAATAGATTTTAAGAGATAAAGTGTTGCTAAAACTCTGACACAAAAGTAATATTTGGAATCCTGCCCCAGAACCCCAGTATGAACATTTTAGCACTGTGTTAAAGGGAACTGACTTCTCTAACCCTTTTCATCCCATCTGTAGAAAAAAAAGTGTTTCTGAATTTGAAGTAATGAAGATTTTTGCATTCTTGTGAAGTCATTACAGTAATAAGAATAATCAACAACCTTTTCCTTCCTTCACATTGGCCTGTTGTAGACGAAAGTAGGCGGGACCAACCACAGTGGAGGCAGTTTTGAAGAGGTGCTCAGCTCCACGGCGCACGCTAGCGCGCAGAGCCCGGCGGGAGGCCCCCGGCGGGCCGAGGAGGAGGAGCTACAGTGCTAGGCTCCTCCCAGCTGCAGCCGCACCCAGAGGCCCAGCCACTGCCCGGCCCCGTCGCCTGCGCCCAACTATCCAGATATGAAGACCAAAATCCCATTGGGAAAAACCGAGGCCTTGTCATTGTCATTCAAATGGCCTCTCCACAGAGTTGAATGAAGTAGTTTTCATTTGTAGTTGTGCTAATACACTTGACCACTAACTTTCAACATTCGTATCTTGTCATCTTCTAAATGTCCTAAATTGAGCAGACAGGATTGGTCACGGCCATTGTCCTGTAATTTAACGTCCATTTCCCAAACATGTAACTACTAATTATTTGCTTTGGCTTTTGCATTTACTCTTTCATGATACGCATGTGCCTGATGGGCTGATGGAACACCCGTTTCAGTGCAGCTACATTCAAAGGATGGAGCTCTAAGTGACTGTCTCCAGCAACAGATGACTTACTGAAAATGTTATTAAAGTACTTATGACCCACCCTTACCTACATATATTACACATATTTACGTAAACAATTAAAATACTTTTAATGATAAGACTTTGAATTCTTAATATCTTTAAGCCTCAGAGGTTATTGATGGCCCTCAAAGTTGTTCGCAGTGATTCCTCAGAAACTATTTTAAATCACTTCCTACTGCTAAGGTGTTGAACATGAGAGGGGATGTACAAATAATCATGACCTCAGCTACCCTCGGCTGCTAACGAATCTCCAACTCTAAAATTCTCTCCAATCTTCCTGGTAGAGCTGTTAACTCAGGTAAAGGGTATTCAAAAGGGTAACAAAAAGCAGCAGAGATCTGCAACCCTAAATTGTTGCCATGTGTGGAATAAAGGATCGTATTCATACAACCAGATTTCCTGGAATAACTGTTAACTTTTGTACTGCATGCTTCTCATTTTTTCTTCTAAATGGGAATATACTTTTGTTATTATGTAGCAGAACTATATCTTAAGATAGATTTTTAAACACACACTGAGTAGATCTAATATCACAGTTTAAAAAGTCCACATAATAAATGATATGGTTGTATGTTAATGTTCTTTTTTTTTCTGTATTTATTATTAAGTAGAAATAGATACTTGTCCCATAGTCAAATGAAGTCAATCTGAAATTTTCTATTCAAATCAATGGAGCAGGAATATTCCCACATCTAACCGAAAATCAATCTGTTTATGTCCACTTACTCTCTGAGGCCTGGAATTTTAGCAGAGGGGATGGGGCTGTAAACTTGCCCGAAACTGTACAAAGAAGCCCTGCTGGGAGGAGCATTGATAAGTTCCCTTACAGCCCCTCCAGCAGTGGGTTGTCATATTCCCATAGGGCTGGAGCCAAACACTGTTGAGCTGGTTAACACACTTGGCTGGTGACCAAAAGGTTGGAGGTTTAATTACACCCAGCGGTTCCTCAGTAGAATTGCCTGGTGATCTACTTCAGAAAATCAGCCACTGAAACCCCTACAGAACACAGTTCTCTTCTCACAAAACAGGAAGTCACCATGAGTCAGAGCTGACTCCAAACTTCTGCTGGTGTGGTGGAACCCGTGCTAGCTCTACTAAAATGCATTGTGAAGAACGCAGTCAAAGACAATGTGGCAGTGAAATTATGAGTGCCAATCATTTCAAACTCATCAGGCAACTGCAGATTGGGCCCAGAGAGATTCGAGCCCCTGCCCACTGCAGTGAACAAGCCAGCAAGCATGAGCCGGCAGGACGGTGTTTGGTTTCCAGCCCTACGGGACCATGACTTCAACCCACATGCTGGCAGACAAATTAGGGAGAATGTCAACACCCTGTATATGAAATGATACTGTAACAAAAACATTCCACCCATCAGAAATTTCAGCAAAATATGATTGTAAAAGACTGGAATTTTAACAAAGTGAATCATTCTGTAATTTAACCATTTACCACTTTTTAAATACCGCTGCTATGATGGAAAATATTCAGGATGTCACAGTGCCACTTTATCTTACAACTCTCATCTCATAAAGATTACGACTATTGGTACGTCATGCCAGCAAAGTCATCTGCATTTTACTCTAGATTACCTATTTTCTTATAAATCTGTTCTTGTACCACAGAAAACAGAACAAACTGTATGCTTTACTACATCTTGATAAATCATGCCATTTACAGTGGAGTCAACATGAGTTGGAAATGGCAACTAACGACATGGAGATTGAACAGAGGATCTAAGCTGCTCATGTGTCATCATTTATTTTTCTAAAACTACCTTGTCAGCTTGAAACATGTTGAGCTTTACTATAAAATGGTGAATAGCATTATGAACTTCAACCCCAGCACTTTCTTCTCATGGTCAAAGTGGAGTTGAGGTGGATCCAATAAAGGAAATGGTGGTAAGGTTAAAAAGTGATTGAATATGAAATATGAACAACTTCTTCAAACTTGGTATTCAAATAAAATTTCAGACTATAGTATTAGTTGTCATAATCTTATGGGTACTTTTGATAATCTCTAATTAAGAATGGCAGAAGCCACTCATGCAACATTTCTACGTGACCCTTAGTGAATAACATAAAAATAGCCTAAGTCTATCTCACCTTTAAATATGAAGACTGGCCATAAAAATGCTAGGCACAGAGGATGCTACTTCACGTCAGCTCATGAGTCAGTTATGACAGAGGCTGTGAGATCAGTATTTTTCACATATATGAGCACTGAGAATTATGTAACAGCTGGTAGTATGCCAGTCCACAAGGGAAAAGTGGTAAGAAGTATCTTTTTTTTCGGTTGAGTCTAACTCAAGAATAATTGTTTAAACTGCATCACAATCATGTAATTTGTTAAAAATACCAATTCCAGGCAAGTAGATCTCTTTTCCAAAAAAAGAAAAATGTTTTAGTGATGTTGTTATTGTTGTTATGTGCCATTAAGTTGGACCCAACTCATAGCGACCCCTCCTTGGGTTGCCAAGGCAGTATCACTACAGAAGTAGATTGCCCAATCTTCCTTCCGAGGAGTGGCTGGTGGGTTTGAAACGCCAGCCTTCTGTTTAGCAGTCAAGTGCCTTAGGCACTGTGCTACCAGAGCTCCCTTTTTAATGATAATGCTAAAATATTTATAGATTTTGCTGGTGGATTCAATAGCTGTCTTCTTTAACTGATCTTCATTTTGTTTTCTTACTAAATATTTTATTTTGTAGCACCTTAACTTAAAAAAAAAAAAAAAATGAGCTCAGTGAGGAAGGTTTAGAACTGACTGAATCCCCACTTGATAGGTAGATGATAAACTGAGATTTTTAAGTGATCAGTATTAAGTGTGACCCAGTAGAGGCTTCCCAATTGGATAAACTGTTGGCTATTGATGACCACTATTGCAGATGTAACATTCTCAAAATAAAACTCAAGGGCCACATAAAACCTTCTGGTTATAAATATTTGAACCTTATCTGGGGTTATTTTGTGTAAATGTTTTCATCCCAGGAAAAAACAAATTACCCACAATATTGATAGATGGAATTGTTTTCCTACTCACTACATCTCCAATATTAGTAAGACTCTCTCTGCTTTTCAGTGCAGAGCAACTCTATGTACATATTTGTTTTGCTTCTTAAAAGATCATGCACCTTGCTTCCTGCAAATTGGGTATCCATGGATACTGTGAAGCGTTTCCAAAGAAACACGCCTAGATTTCTCACCATGGCAGCCTAACAGGCCTTCAAATGGAAACTGACGTTTGTATAATGACAGGCATCATTGTTCCATGACAATACCTGGCAGGTCTGCATGCATTCTGTCCTCGCCATTCAGGGGTTGGGCATCACTGAATGGGAATGGCAAGGGGCTGAGGAAGGTTGTTCCTTACCCTAGCCTTGAATGGTCACTTTTCCTGGGATAGGAATAAATCACAGGGTAAGTGAAAGGGAAATAAGGGGAAGATACCTGCTTTGACATGTTGCTAATAAAGGCCCAGTAACCCTAAAAATAGTGGTGTAGTGCCTAAGGCATCTGACTGCTAACCAGAAGGCTGGCGGTTCAAACCCACCAGCCACTCGGAAGGAAGGTTGGGCAACCTACTTCTGTAGTGATACCACCTCGGAAACCCAAGGAGGGGTCACTATGAGTCAGATCTGACTCCACGGCAGTGAGTTTGTTTTTTGTTTACCCCCTCGGAAACCCAAAGGGGGTTGCGGTGAGTCAGATTCGATTTGATGGCAGTGAGTTTTTTTTTGGTTTGGACCCTCACTTTGAGCCCTGGTTGTGCACTGGTTATAATCACTCCGATAACCTAAAAGTGTGCATTTCAAACCCTCAGCTGCTATGCCGGAGAAAGATGAGGCAGTCTGCTTCTGTAAAGATTAGACTTGGATGGAAACCCCGTGGCACAGTCCTACTCAGTCCTACAGAGTTAGAGGCAGAATTGATGGCCATGAGATTTGGTTTGTTTGTTTGGTGCCCCTGATTATGTATTTCTCACCTGGTAATAAGTGTTCAAGATTTGGAACTCAGACAATGACAAACATACAAAGAAAATGACATCTGAAAGGGCCTGTATGTACCAATTTATATCCCCAAATGATAGGAAGGAATGGGGGTGGGGTAGAACATGTTAGCTGGTTTACAAGTCTGTGATCAGCAGCTTAAAGCAGGTCACAGTGAAATTCAAATCTAGCTCCAGACAAGTTATCATTTGAAAAAGGAAGCATTTTACCTGAAAGTGCATTACTAATACGTCCCCCCACCCCACCCCACTCCACATCACTGAGTCAGCTGAAGCATCTATTCTTAAAAGCAAGTATAATTCAATTTTCTATCGTTCAATGAATCTGGCCTTTGGGAATACAGGTTATTAATTCAGAATCAGATGGTTTAAAATCTCCAATAAATACTCCCAAGTTTTTAGGCTTTCAACATTTATTTATCTAGTTCATAAGTGAGGTAGCCCTCCCCCACAGTTTTCCTCTATGAAATTTCAATCTTCTATAGCTTTATTGCCCAAATGACGTCATGTTTCTTGCTGGAGTACAGCCATGTGAAAGGAAACAGACACATCTGGGGAAATCAAGAGACATTCATGCAAAACACAATGCCATGTGAAGGAGAAAGAAGGTGTGTTCCAGGATCACAGCCACAGAGAGAACATCTCAGGTGTGGGGCTCACTGGAGGCTGCAGCTATGCTGGTGTTCCTTTCTGTCTCAAGTTCAGAAACAAGTTGGACTATTTCAGGGTGACTGAATTTTCCTGCAAAACAAGAGAGAGGGAAAAAGACATTCCCATATTAACAAAAAAAAGAAGGCAACTGCTCCCACTTGATCCCATAGCTCATTAGGGGCTGTATTCTGTGATCTGACTCATACTTCACTCAAATGCAGAAGACTGCAATTCCAGCTGCTGGAGAGAAGTCAAAGGTGAGCATTGGAGTTTATTCTCTGTCACCCTCGATGCCACCAAGTAATGCAAGAGACCTGGGCAAAGCACCATCAGTTAGGCAGAGCCCTGATACCTGGGCTCATCCCAAAGATACAGCTGCCCCCACAGCCCCTCACATGGTAGCCATTTTCCTCACACCTCTCTTACCATAGGGCTGCTCCCTCCTTAAGGGTCATGCCCTCAGATGATACCACTCACTGCCCCTATTGGTTTGCCATCATCAAAAGAATCAAAAGTCACCCCTCTTCACACCTGGAAGATTACAGCTTCAGATTCATTGTCACTGATATCACCCGTCATGACTCTTGATGACTACAACAAACAGGCAGACTACCCTTCCTACAACCTGGCCTCTCTGTTCTGTGACCTTCTCTTCTGAGAAATCTTCTCTTTACCCTACCTCAGCCACCTCCTCCTACAGGCACATCTGGAACTCATCACTACTGTAACTGGTGGTGCGTAGAAACGGTCTCTGCCCCCAAGGCCACTCTCTCCACTTGTGTATGAGTCCCAGCGCCAGCAATTCTTACCCCGCTTATTTCTATTATTGATTATTTCTATCAGCATCTGTTGTTGTCCCCTGCCGTTGAGTCATCCCTTGACTCATGGAAAACTCAAGCACAAGTGAACAAAACACTGCCTGGTCATATGCCTTCCCCGTGCTCCACTGTACTCAGGCCGTTGTGATCACTGGCTAATTTTCAGTAGATAGCCAGACCTTTCTTCCTAGTGTACCTTAGTCTGGAAACTCTGCAGAAAGCGGGTCAGCATAGCAACATGCAAGCCTCCAGTGACACACAAGTGGTGCTTATGCAGGAGAGGCAGGGCCAAGAATGAAATCTGGGTCTCTGGCTGGAAGGCAAGAATTCTACCCTGAACCACCACTGAAGGCCACCCCCCACCCTGGGCATATAAACATACTCTTTTATCCCCTATCTGAAAACAAACCCTCACTTGGCCATGCATATGCCTCTAGCTTATAGTCCCATCTGTTTATGCCCCTTTAAGACAAATTCACTAAAGGGTAGTTTATAACTACTGTCTCTAGTTCCCTTCCTTCCATCATCTCTTGAACCCCTCAATCAGGCTTTCATTCCTACCACTCTATGAAACTGCTCTTATGGAGGGCACCTACCACCTCCATGTTTCTAAATCTCGTGGCTGATTCTCATTCCTCATCTCACCTGACCTCTCAGCAGCACTGGGCAAGCTATCACTTCTTTCCCCTTGAAACCCTTCCTTCCCTTGGCTTCTAGGACTTGATTTTCTTCCCTCAAACTTGTCCTTCCCTCACTAAGGGCAACACCATTCTTGAAGTTGGAGGCCCATGGAAGAATACTCAGGAAATCAGAACCTCTAGGTCAACCTCACTCATGTGCCTATGTCCCACCCAGCCACAGAGACAAAAGAGCCTGACATGTGAACAGGGCCCAAGTGCCCACCTATTTTCCCACTTGCCCCGCCCTCTGGGATAGAGGCTGGTTTCTGATATCCCCACATCTCTTCAAATGGACCTCCCAAGTCAGATAGTAAAAATGCCGTCATCCAGAAATCTTGCCACTTCCCTGTCCTCATACTAGATGCCCTGGTCACATACTGGATGCCTGGTTGCTGGCACTGGCCCATAGCCTAGAGCCAGGATGCTTCTTGGACTTGTGATCTAATCTAGACCACTGCCTCTTCCCAGGCTGGTTTCCTCAGTTGTGCACTCAGGAGCTCCTCTGATGCCACCAACTTGTAGCTCACCACCATGGAGAGTGAGTGAACAGAAGACCAGAGACATGGGTGGTAGCATACTCCAGACCCTTTATATCATTCAAAAGTGCCATGATTTTATGTTTTAGAAAAACAAAACCCAAGGGAGTTCTTGTTTTGTTTTGCTTTAAATACAAATGTGATGATGCCTACACATGCAAAGGAGGAAAACATTGAGAAAAGCAGGTTGAATTAGTGAGCCTACTGGCAGGTCACTGCAACAGTCCAACTCAGAAACAATGAGCCATGTCTCATTGTTGGAAGTGGGTTGGAAAATAGAGAAGGGAAACTGAGTCAACTGCAAATCAAATTTTGAAATATAGGCTGTGTATTGGAACTTTCTCTATTCTGGTAAGGCTGTGTGAGGGTTTGCTGTTGTTGTTATGTGCCGTTGAATCGGACCTGACTCAAAGCGACCCCTCCTTGGGTTTCCAAGGTGGTATCACTATGGAAGTAAATTGCCCAACCTTCCTTCTGAGGAGTGGCTGATGGGTTTGAACTGCCAGCCTTCTGGTTAGCAGTCAAGTGCCTTAGGCACTATGCTACCAAAGCTTCCGTGTGAGAGTTAGAGAAAGGCTATCACTAGCCATGTTCTCAAGGAAGAGGGAGGCTGAGCTATGCCCAAAGAGATTGCAGGAAGCAACATAAACACCACTATTGTTCACAATACTGAGTTCACATTACTATTCACACTATATTAATAGTCTACTTAGCTCTATATGCAGGAAACTGTATCAGAATGAAAACAGCTATTATTAAAAGTTTATGGTATGTCAGATATTACTCTAATTTACAAAAATTAACTTACTGCATTCTCAAACAACCCTCTAATTATGCCCATTTGGCAGATAAGGAAACTAAGGCTCAGACAGGTTAAGTAATTTGCTGAAGTTTATACAACTCGTATATGGCAGAGCCAGGACTAAAACCCCAGAAGTTTGATCCAGGACTGTGCTATGAAGCATTGTAATGACAATGGTGACTGCAGCTGTTTGAAATTTTCCTTTTTCAAATCTCTATTTCTACTTCCATCTCACATTTATAAAGCATTATAGGTTACAAAGTGCATTATCTATGTAGAATAAATAGTAGGATTCCCATGTTTCCAATGAGGACACAGACACAGAGAGGTCAGGAGACTACCCAAGAGCACACAGCTAGCAGTTGGCAGAGCCAGAATGTGAACACAGAGCTCAGATTCCAGGTCGGCTCTCATCCACCAACCTGCCTCTCACCAGGAATGCCAGCATTTTCTTTCATCCTGCTCCTTATACAAAGGTTGGAAGTGAGTGACGACAGTGGGTTTCAGTAACAGAGCTTCCCTGCAACCGAGAGTAAGCCAAGCTAAAGCTGATTCTTCCTGAAAATGGCTTGAATACCTGCTGTAGAATCATAGAAGTCCTGCAGTCTCCCAGGTCTGCTCTCAAGGTCTTCATACTCCGATGCCTGAAGGATCATCTCACACTGGTCCAGCTGCTTCACATATCTGGCTTCTGCACTGGATTGGGTCTCATATTCCTATGTAAAGAAACAATTAAAGCAGCTTAGTTTGGGCTAGCATGAGAGGTTATTCCAGGAAAATTCTAATTCTGGGACCTGAGATCAGAATCATGGCTAAAAGCGCACTCAACTTCACAGAGAGGCTTCAATTTTCATTTCACAGCTTAACTTCTATGCAAGCAGGAGGTGCTCATAGGCCGTGCAGTCCACCAGATGCCTGGAAGTCCCCTCTTTCCAATGGACACTTCCAAGCTCTTTCTGTTTAATCTTGTCTTCATTTCTAAATCATCCTTCTTTAATCTACCTGAGTAGCTAAGATCTTAAACCTTTTCACTTGCAGCTCAAATTTCATGTTAACCTCCTTAAGTTTTATTTCCCTCACCATTTTATGTCAGGTTTTTTCCCCTTTTAAGTAAATTTCTAGTGGATTTTTCAGGAACTTTTGGTTACTGCTTTGCACTGGGAATCTGGTGTCCTTTACTGTCTACATTAAACCAGATGGAGCTGTCACATCAATTCCAAGTCATGGCAACCCCATGTGTGTCAGACCAGAACTGTGCCCCACAGAGTTCTCATGGACCTATTTCTCAAGCGTGGATCACCAGGTCTTTTTTCTTATGTGCCTCTGGGTGGACTCAAACCTCCAAATTCTAGCAGCTGAGGGCATTAACTATTGGCTCCACCCATGGACTCCACTTGCTACATGGGGTGAATTAAATCGAGTCCTTCTGGTTTTGACTGCTGAAACACCAACCAAACCAAACTCACTGCCATCGAGTCGGATCCGACTCATAAAGACCCCTCCTTGGGTTTCCGAGGAGGTATCTCTATGGAAGCAGATTGCCCAGAACTACTGGGTGTTCAAAGTTACCGTTTTGAAAACAGGTGTGCCTGACCTGAGCCATGGTAATTTCAATTGCCTCATATGCATGTGAAAGTTTGACAATCAATAAGGAAGACTAAAGGAAAACTTTTACATTTGAATTGTGGTGTTGGCAAAGAATACAGAAAATACCGTGGACTGCCAGAAGAATGAACAAATCTGTCCTGGAAGAAATGCAGCCAGAATGCTCCTTGGTAGCAAGTAGTTCCTAATGACAGGATGGAGGGCTGCAAGGAGGAAGAGGTTGGAGATGGAGGAAGGAGCAGCTCCTGAAAGGCCTGTGGTTTAAGCTAAGGTGTCTCAGCTTCATGCCACAGCTATTGGACATCACTAAAGGATTTCAAGCGGGAAGAGACAGGATAGGATTTGCAGTTCAGAAATGTCACTCTGGTTCCAATGTGGATAATGGCTAGACTGGAAGCAGAGACACCAGGGTCTGAGACTTTGTGGCACTAGGAGAGGAGTGATGAGAGTCTGGCCTAAGATTGTGGCAGTGAAGATGGGTAGAAGTGGATGGATTTGAGAAACATTAAGGATGAAGAACTGAATCAAAATATTAAAGTGAATGAGAGGCCAAGTTGAAAACAGCTGCCTAGTTTCTAGCTAAGTAGATGGTAAAATAGGTAGCCGAAAAGAACAGAAAGACAAGAAACTGACAAAGAGGTACCAAAACCAAAGCCTCCTGGATAACATTTACAACAAACTAGGAGACATGACATGCCCATGAGCACCAAAGTATACATGGGCAGGGACAAACCACCTCCAAGCATAAGCCTGCATGTGATCAACATCCGTTTGGGGGACGCAGAGGGAAGCAATAGAGTATCTGATGGACCTGTGAACAAGTGATCTCTCAATAGCCAAATGATGTCCACTAGAACTCTTAGTTTTTAGTAAGGACAGTGGCTGACACTGGAAGTCTTGCCCACCGCCACAGTGCAAGAACACAAGGAGCTCACATTAAGGACAGCCTCGCCAGGCTGAGCTGCCAGGCTCCCTTCCAGAACAGAGCCCCACACAAGCAAAAATCAAAGTGAAATCAAACTTAAGTGGGATAAAGATAACAGAGAGGAAGGAAAGAAAAAGTCCAGATAAAACGGGGAAGGGGAACAAAGCCAGGAAATCTCTGAAAGTTTAATGCTACACAAAAATAACAGAAGAGGAAGTTCTGTGGGTTAGAAACACTAACTGAATCATGCTTCCTTCCAAAAGTTGAGGAGAGCTAATTGCACATCACAAGGAGCAACAGAAAAGTACAGAGGTCAGATCCCATACAAACTTAACATAAGATAAGGAGAATATGGAACAAAAATAATCTTTACAGACAACAAAGATCCACCAGAAAGGCATACACAAAGGAAAAAAAATCAAATCTGTCAGGTGATGCAGTGGTTAAGGCAGTCGGCTGCTAACCAAAAGTTGCATGGTTCAAACTCACCAGCCACTCCATGTGAGAAAGGTGAGGCAGTAGGCTTCGGCAAAGATTTACAGCCTCAGAAACCCTATGGGGCAGTTCTACTCTGTCCTATAGGGTCACTGTAAGCTGGAATCCATTCAATGGCAGTGGCTTTGATTGTATAACAAACTATTTCAAAAGGAGCTAAAAATACTTTAAGTGAGACATGAAAGAACATTAAAAGGGATAGAAATAAAAGAAAAAGTCATTTTAGAAATGAAACCTAGCAATACAGAACACAGAGGTAATTAAGCATGATACACATCCCTTAAGATAAACAGAAGTTGAAAATGTGCTTAAGTTAAAACTCAAAAATAAAAAATAAAAACGAAGAGGATATAAAGGACTCGGGATAAAGTGGCAAATACTGAAGATAGGCAGAGAACTGATACACTGACAGATAGGACTCCCTGTAACAAGAAAACCGAAACAAAAGGAAAAATTATACTTCAAGAAAACTTTCTTGAAATTAAAAATTTTAAAAGATTTGAAAGTACGTATTGAAAATGCATAGTCATTACCTCCAATGACCAACACACCAAGACACAGTCTAGTAAATTTACTAGACTAAAAGAACAAAAAAAAAAAAAATCCTCTGACCATATTGCTAGACAGAAGAGTGTATGACATATAAGGAAAATACAATTAAATTACCATCAGCAACACTTCATGCCAAAGGAAAATAGCATGAGATATTTAAGATTTTCAAGGAAAGAAACTGAGCCCAGCACAGTGCCGCCACCACCACCAGCAGCTGCTCTCAAGGTGACTCTGACTCACGACAATCCCACGTGTGCTAAGAATTGAACTGTGCACCAGAGGCTTGTCAGGGGCTGATTGTTTCAGCAGCAGATTGCCAGGCCTTTCTTCCAAGTTGCCTCTGAACAGATTCATACCTCCAACCTTTCAGTGAGCAGCTAAGAGTGTTAACTATTTGCAGCACCCAGGGACTCTTTATGTGTATGTGTGTGTATATCCCAGCTGTCTGTTATTGTTAACAATAACCAACTCACTATCAATGAGCATCCCTAATGCACACACGTGGCCTTGAAATACCATTTCCTACTTAAAAACAAACAAGCAAAAACCCAAACAAGCTTCTTGGAGTTCTGGAAGCAGAACATGCTCAAGATGAGCCTGGAACAGCCTGATATTCCTGCTATCAAAGAAGGCGGCGAGTCAACTTGAGGAGGCTCCTACCAGCCAAAGAACAGATAATGTGAACCTCAATAGGATAAGAACTGCAATGGACTGAAACCCATACTGAATATGTTGAGACTCACAGGTTTCTAATGGTAAAAAAAAAAAAAAACCTAAGTTGCCTACCTTTTAAGAATGACAAGGAACCAAGTCATTATCCTACAAACTGGGTAAATGAAAGGAAAGCAGCAAACACGTATCTCACCTTTCCTACGTGAACTATAACCAAAGAGTAGGTGAAGGAAAGCTTCTGCCAATAAAATGATTTCAGCTACTTAGGAAGAAATAATATTACCATTCTATAGTCCCACAGGATTAAGAGTTATAAGCATGAATGGCAGCTAACAGGAGAAAAAGAAGAAAAACCAGGTATGATGTGCCTCATGATGAAAGAGCCAGCACCATCTACAAGCTTGTCAAAGGGCTCCAAGCTGCGTCTGATCCAGCCTCTGGATCCAGTTGCCAACACGCAGAAAATAAGAAGACAGAGGAATAAGCATACTGCACCAAGAGTGTGCAATTAGCAAAATCCAGACCATGCAAAACTCCATAGGCAAAAGGGGCCAGATTCTTTAACAAGTAACTTCTAAGCAAAAGAAAGGGATGAGGGGTAGGGATGTGAGGCTGAAACCATAGATTATGAGAGACTTAAAATCTTTCAAAAAAGGCAAGATTGCACTAAACATCTAGGAAGGAACACTTAGGTAATAAAGCCGTAAAGAAATCCAAAGAAGTGATTAGTATAAAAATCAGGATCCAAAAACCAAACCAAACTCACTGCCATCGAGTCAATTCCATCTCATAGCGACCACCACTGGGTTTCCAAGGCTGTTAATCTTTACAGAAGCAGACTGCTTCATCTTCCACCGAGCAGCTGGGGGGTTCAAATCATTGACCTTCTGGTTAGCAGCCAAATGCCTTAACCATACACAACCAGAGATCCTCAAAATCCAGGAGAGTGGTTACTTATTTTGGGGGAAGGAGCCACTGTGTTTGGGCCTGAGCACAAGGAAGGGATTCTGAAGGAAATGGCAAGGTTCCAAATTGTAATGAGTTGCAGTTATAAGAATGCTGTCTTTTAATAATTCAGTATTCTACGCATTTGTTTTTTGTGCAGTTTTCTGCACTTTGTTTTCTAATAAAAATTTTTTGAAGAAATGATAAAAATGTCTGAAGATAACGAGTAAGGCTATGAAACTTTGGAACTGATGTCCCTATGGATGTTCAGGTGGAGCTTTTCATTAAGCTCCTGGATTTACGAGTCTGGGAAGATTTTTCAGAGAATAAATGGAGTAATCAGCTTGTGCTCACTGGAGCCCAGGAGGGGTGTGAAGAGAAGAGAAGAAGGCCAAGGACACAGTCTGGGGGCACACCTGAGCTCTGCAGAGACTGGGTGAAGAAGAGCTGTACCTGAAGAAACTCAGAACAGCCAGAGAGGTACACAGAAAACCAAGAGGAAGCAATGCCTCAGACAATTCG